TTGGAACTTTATCCACTGCACCACCTAGCTGGCCCTCCCTGTATCTAGTCTCTCTCTACTCCAATTCATCGCCCTCTCAGCTACCAAGGTGATTTTTCCAAACCATAGGGCTAACCCTGCCATTGCCCCTACCCAGGGAGCTCAGTGACTCTCTAATTTCTCTAGAATTAAATATAAACTCATCTGTTTGGCCTTTAAGGTCCTTTACTACCTGGCTCCTTCTTACCTTCCCCAGTCTTCCTAGACTTCTTAGACTTCATTCCCCTCTGTGCATTGTATGACCCAGCTATGCAGGCTCACTTGTTCCTTGAATACGTTTTAACATTTCCCATCTTTGCACTAGCTATCCTCCATGCCCCCTCACCTCTATCTCTTAGTTACCCTGGCTTCCTTTAAGACGCAGCCCAAATCCCAACCTCTACAAGAGGTCTTGCCAGCCCCTCTCCCTAAGCTAGTGCCTTCTCCTTTCAGGTTACCTTTGCCCTACCCTGGATAATAGATTTTATACGCACTTTATTATTCACAGGTTGTCTTCCCCATTAAAATATATGATTATTTTAGGCAGACATAGGCTGAGGTTTATTCTGAATTACTGAAGAGAGATTTGATCAATGAGATGACAGATCCATTTGAATATTTTATATCAGATTTATGTCCATTTATGCCAAAATGTTATTCCTCTTATTGCATTTAGAGTTTATTTCTTTTAAGTTAGCACTTAGAAGAAACTATGATTCTTGACAGAAGGGATTTTATTTTACCTTTCTTTGTATTCCCAGCATTTAGCACATAGTAGGTCCTTAATAAATGTTTATTGGCTAACAACTAGTCTAACCCCCTTGTTTTACAGATGAAGAAACTGAGGCCCAGAAATATAAAAGGTTTTTTGAGGTACCTTTTAGCATTAGATTTCTGATCCTATCATCCTATCAAAATGACTTGCCTGAGGGGCAACTAGGCGGCACAGTGAATACAGTATGGACCCTGGAATCAGGAGGACCTGAGTTCAAATCCAGTCTCAGACCAGACACTTGACACTTACTAGCTGTGTGACCCTGGGCAAGTCACTTAACCCCAATTGCCTTGAAAAAAAATGACTTGCCTGGGTCATACAGATAGTATGTGTCAGAGATGGAATTGGAACCCAGTCCCTCTGACTCCAAGTCAATGCCATTTTCAACAGTGCTGAGCTGGAAGGGACCTTCTGTCCTGGTCCAACCCCCTTCTTTTATAAAAGACAGCGAGGCTCAGAGATGAAAAGAGTACTTGAGAAATACTCTGGGTTAGTCCATACCTAGTTAGTGTCAGAGCCAGGTCTAAATTAGTAACAGTTCACTTGTATGTAGCACTCTGAAGTTTACAAAGGGTTCTCATGGAAACAATTCCATGAAGTAGGTTCTCTAAGCATTATTATCTCCATTTTATAGAGGAGAGTAACCAGGCTCAGGTTAAGTGACTTGCTCATGATTACACAGCCAATAAATGTCAGAGGCAGAATTGGAACCCAGGTCTCCTTAGCTCTGGGTCCAGTGTTCTTTCCCATTATATCCTAGTAACCCAGATCACCTCTGCGCTACATCAAACTCTTTACACCTGAGAAGATTAAATTGATTCTGTACCATGTTTTACTGATCATATTTACAATTAATTAATTTTGTCCTGTAACTGCTTAAGTCATGGTTCTCTGTCTCTGAACTTGGTTCAGAATTCAGCTGGTCTGTAATGGGTTAAGCTTAGAACTCCAGCTCTCTTGTTAATCATTGTTTTATTCTTGCCTCGAGGAATTCTTCTAACTTTGAGTTATGCAGGTGGACACAAGGGAGTTGGGTCTAGTATCTTTACAACACCAAGCTATCCTGCAAGGATGTCTGGTTTGCTATCCAAAGACATCTGGGGCACTTTCTTGCAGATAGACTCAAATAATGAACGCATCTTAGTCACAGAAGAGAAGGAGGGGGTTGTTGCTAGCCCCTCATTCCCAACTTCCAACCAATCATATTGTTCCCCACACTTCCAGCTATGTAACCAATCATGATGCCCTCAACCCAATGATGTCACCTACCCTGTTCTGTTCTTTGTTCTGTGCTCCCCAAAACCTATAAAAGGGGAGCTATCCTTTTGCTCAGAGTCTTTGGCATAAATGGAGGCAAGCCATTGACCCCTTTATAGGCAGGTAGTGCCCAATTAATAAAATGATATCTTGCTCAGAGAAGGTGCTTCAGTTTATCTTTTTGTTAAATTTTACTCATGACACACCTCAACAAAATGTAGTATGGTTCCTTGTGCATCTCCTGAACACTAGGCAAGAAAGCTGAAAAATCCTCAGCTTTCATGATGGGGTTCTTACTCCCTGGTCCCAGCTCTGATCACCCTTACACAAAGTTGGGCTCACCTCAAAGGAAACGGGAACTCGGACCATGTCCCCAGACCTGACGGTCACGCAGTCTGTAGTGGTGGTATCCATGAGGAACTTGGGAAAAACTGGAAAACAGACAGCCTTGGTCATCTCTCTCCCTCTCCTCTGCTCCCTGCCCCTTGCCCTCAACCTCTGCCTTAGGATAAGGGGAGAAAGTCTAGAGAGTAAGTGAATATCAGCCCACGTGACTCTTCCTAGCTAGAAGCTTAACCTTCATTTTCTTTGGGCTCAGTCAATTCAATTACAGGTACAGATACCGAGAAGCCAGGCTGGGAGAATTGGGGGTGTTGGAGGGCTTGGAAGGAGTGAGGTGAAAAGATACAGGGACTGATAGGAAAATATTGGGAGAAGGGGAAGGAGGAAGAGGACAAAGAGAAGGAATAGGTTGAAAGAGAAATGTTAAGGGAGAGGGGATGCAGAGTTAGTTGAGTGGTTCCTACAGTGGATAGACATCCATGGGTATTGGGGGCAATGTTGTCTCTCCTGGGTTGTGACTTCCCCTTGTAGACACCAGTCACACCTGACTTGAGGTGAGAGTGGGAACTGAGATGAGAGCAGGGAAGGAATCCTGAGGTCTGGTAAAGCCCCCTCAAGTCAGAGGCTCCTGAGTTTGTATCCGGAGAAAGCACAGCTCCTTCTAGAGGACTACCTGGCATCAGCATTTTCTCATGGAAGCCCTATTCACTTTGCAGAAAACACCAAGGTTCTGAGATTCAAAAAATATGCTTCTCTAACCCCCTCATTTTACAGATAAGGAAATTAAGGCCCAAGGAAGTGAAATGATTTAGCCAAAGTCAACTATGTATTTGAAATGATAGGAAGATTAGCTGGTTTCTGGGAAGTCAGGTATAACAAATGCCAGTGAATGTAGGCAGGGACGCTCTTTGAGCAACACATAGGTGGGGGTTGGAAAATGGAAGGAATAGGAGAACTGGTACTCACTAGATGCAGGCATGGCCTGGATGCAGGTGTCCAGCGTGGTGGGTTGGCCCTGACCCCCATCATTGACAGCCGTTACCCTCAGGAAATAGGCCTCCTGTGGCCGGAGTCCCTTGACAGTGTAGGTGGTGCCACCCACAGTGCCTGGGTGGCAGCGGCTCCACTGGAGACTGTCTGAGCTCCTCAGCTCCACCAGATAGCCCTGGACTTCATCCCCACCCTGGGCATCTGGCCTGGCCCAACTCAACGTGATGCTGGTATGGGATGTGTCAGTCACCTGGAGATCCCGAACAGGGCCAGGGGGTTCTGAAAGGACACAATGGGAATGTCAGTTTCTAGGGATGGAAATCCCCTTCCAGGGGGAGACTTGTTTCTATAAAGTACAGGGAATTTAAGCTTCCCTGTAGAAAGTCAAGAGTTCTTCTTCATTGGCTGGTCTATGCTCTATAGAATGACATGCCTAGAGCAGCTTTCCTCCTGTTACACACTTTGCTCCATCATTGTTTAAGGTAACCTCCTTCAAGCTCAGCCCGCCCTTTCTCCAACCTGCTACACAGCTTCTGACCCAAACGCTTTTCCCTTAGAGTCCTTCTGGAGTCACTATAGCTTTCAGTTGATTTCTCACTGTATTCTAAACTCCCTTGGAGAACATTGTACGCTGTAACAGCAACAGTGTAATCAGCCTGTGAGAGACTTAGCTACTCTGATCAATACAATGATCCATGACAATTCCAAAGGATACATGATAAAAAAAATGTTGTCCACCTCCAGAGAGAGATCTGATGAACTCTGAGCACAGATTTGTTTTTCATTTTCTCTATTTTTCCTTGCTTTTTTTTTGCAACATAGCTAATGTGGAAATAAGTTTTGCATGACTTCATACGTAGAATGGGTATAGTATGCCTTGCCTTCTCAATGGGTAGGAGAGAAGGTTGGAGTCGGGGAAAGAATTTCAACTGAAAATAATATGTTTAAAATTTAAAAAAATAAAAAATAAACTTTCTGGAGATGGGGTCAGTCTTCATGAAGTCCTGGATCCAGGTTCCCTGGGTCCAGAGGCCTTCACAACTGTCACTAAGAATTCATATAGACAGTCCCGTGTTATGTCCATCATTGTCCTTTAGTCTGTACCCTGCATGCCTGCTCCAGAGCCATGCTCTCTTAATGGCTTTATTCAAATGTACTAAGAGATTTGCAATCCTGAATACTGCACCAATACAGACTCCCCTTTATCCCCCTCACCCTGGCCCAATACCTATGTGTCTAATGAAGACAAAAAGACTTATGTTAGATTTATGTTAGACACTTGAACAATATGTAAGGAAGTCTATCTTTTTTGCCTGCATATTTACTTTCATGTTTTGGTGATGTCTGAACCTGCAGTGAATGACCATTTACAAGGCTATGCAAGTTGCCCATCTGAGTGGGCTGGATTAGGGACCTGTCCTATGTAGAGGCTGGGGGGGGGGTAGATGAATAAGAAGGAGGACCTTATAGTCTGAGGGGTCTACACTGTGTTCCTGTTGTCTCTTTGAGGGAATCTTTTTGTTCCATCTATATGCTGAATCCCAAAGAACATGGTGCTCCTGACCTTTAGACTTCCTGTCTTTTCCTGAACTTTGATTTTCATGTATTACCTGCTCAATGACTCCTCATTTTCTCCCCATTGCTCCCAGAGTTGCCTTCCCAGAGTTTACATCTGCACTTACTCATGGGGTCTCGAGCAAAAACAGCATCTGATGGGGGTCCAGGCTCCCCAGGGCCAGAGGCCCCCACAGCAGTCACTCGGAACTCGTATTGACAGCCTGGCAGCATGTCCGTTACAATCCATTTCCTCTCTGTGAACATCCCCATACCCCAGTTAGTCCTAGGAATCCAGCAGCCAGTCTGAGCCTTAGTCCCCTAGAAAGCTTCCCAGGCAGGGATCCTACCATGCCCCCACCCATTTCACTATGACCAGCTAAGCCCATAGCAAGACCCTCACGGTGACTGGAGTCCTCTGGATGACAGAGATCATGGCAACAGTGAACTCTAACCCAGACAAGATATCCTAGGGGTTGCAACCATTGAGTTCAATCCCTCCACTTTTTAATGATGAAGAAATATGTAATATATGAATATATAAGGAAGTACAAATATATAGTAAAGTATGGCTATATATAATATATATGCATATACAAAGTATGCATATATGTATATAAAATAAAGTATGGATATATAATTAAGTATGGACATATGTATGTTTAAAAAGTATATATTTATAACTCTGTGTATACAAATATAAAATAAAGTACATATGTATAGGTATGTGTATATGTGTATGTGCATGTATATATATGTGTATGTGTATGTATATGTATATGTGTAAGTATATGCATGTGCATATATATGTATATATTGGAGAAGGAAATGGCAAATTACTTCAGTATCCTTGCCAAGAAAACCTCATAATGGGGACACGAAGAGTCAGGCACAACTGAACAACAACTCTATGTATGTACATATACAAACATACATAAAATAAGACATATATATATATAATAAAGTATTTTATCTTTTAAGTTCTTTGTATGTTCTTTCTTTCTATCACATCTCTATAAGGATAGTAGGAAAAGAGGAATAAGGAAATAATAAGGAAACTGAAGCTCAAAAAACCTAAGTAATTTACTTGAGGTCTCACAGAAAGTTAGTGATAAGGCTGAGATTGGAACCATGTTGTCCTGACTGTTAATCACATTGTGTTTTCAGGTCATTTCAATTTGAATCCTAGCCCCTCCACTAGCTATATGAAGATGAGCAAGTCCCTGCCCCTTTCTGGGCCTCAGTTATAAGCAAGTTAGAGTAGAAGATTTCTGAGGTCCATTATCATTCTAAAATACCAAAGGATCTTTCTATTAAATCATGATGACCTAAGTGGAAAACAACAATCTGTAGGACTGAAAAAATGGGAGGTTAAGGAATGCAGTTTGGCTGAATTGTTAGGAATTGCATTGGCCTGGGCCTAGACCCAGACCCAGAGCTGAGTATAGGAATGAAAGCAAAGTATTGCCTTGCTTGTTGGCAACTCGGTCAGGCCCAGGGACTTGGTGCCAGGGTCCAGTGGTCTCCCATTCTTCACTGCCTGCTTTTGCCATCTAACTCTCCATATTCCCTTGTTCCCCACTCAAGCTTGCTCACCAGAAACAGGCTGGTCATTGACAGCTGTCCAGGTATTGCTTCCTTTCTTCCTCTTCTCAATCACGTAGCCAAGGAGATGAGCACTTCCTGGGCCCTTGGGTGCTGTCCATGTCAGGGTGATACCCTGGCTGGTAGCAGATGTAATGGTTGGGGCTGGAGGGGGTCTAGGACGAGCTATGAGAAAAGTCAAGGGGCAATGCAAAGGTATATCAGGGGTCAGACTATTCTTTTCGTTACTTGCTTTTTTTTTCTGAGGGAGAGAGGAAATTGTACCA